CCCCCTCCCCCCCCCCAACTGCTTCCATACCTCATGAGGTGGCTCCGGGAGGGCTGTTGGTGAGAAAAGGACTGAGAGCGGCCTAAGCTAGCCTGGTGTCTCTCTACCAGGTCCCGGACAGCAGGGCTGCTGGGGCTGCTCTTTCGAGACAGGGGCCGGGCCTCGGGCGGAGGGTGGGACACACTGGCGGTGAACTGCAGCTTCAGTTTCATGTGCTGGCTCAGCTGGGGCGGGGAGACACAGGTCAGCATTCCAGCTCAGCCTCCAGGCCCCGAAGCTCCTTTCAAATCAAGTTCCCCACTTGCCTGGGCAACGTTGGATGGAAGTTCCCCCTTCCCTCTACCCGGCTGTTCAGTGCCATCCATGGTGTTTCCTCCACAGAGGCTGGAGGCCTGGACTCCTCCCACCCTGACATTCCCATAACCCATAAGCCCAGCCCCTCCCCAGCCCACCTCAAAGAGTCCTGTCCTCAGAGCCTGGAAGGCCACACTGAAGGTGAGCGCACTGCCCTTCCGGGAAAAGCCTAGATTGTTGAGGGGCGTGTGGCAGACAATGGAGTCCAGGGCTGCCTGCATGGCTCGGCGCTCCTCCTCACACAGCTGCTTTCCTGGGGGGGGGAGCAGAAGCAGCCACCAGTAAACACATATGTACAGCACTTCTCAGTTCGCAAAGGGCTTTTCATGAGCACAGTCTTTATATATTCTCTTTTGTTGAACTTTATAAATAACAATAGCAAATCCTTACTGTGTGCTGAAGTCTATTCTGACCACTTCACTTATGCTACGCTATTAGATCACCATTAACAATCCTAAGAGATATTATTTCCCCCATTTTAGAGAAGAGGAATCTAAGTGAGGCTCGGAGATTAAGTAACCTACCTAAGGTCACACAGCTAGTGAAGGGGAGAGATAGAAATCAAATATACAAGGGAGCCCAGATCCAGGGTCAATGTCCTTAAAATCACTGCCCCACTGCTTCTCTGATCTCTCCGTTTGTAACACTGTGGAGACCACGTAGGTATAGAGCCAAAGGAGCCTGCCACAGCTCCCCCACCTCTATAACTTCCTTTCCCCTCCTCTTCTGGGTCAAGTCCCCAGAGCCTGACAGCCCACCTACCAGCCTGTGCATGCTCCGGGGTCCACACAAGCCTCACAGCAAGGAAGTCTTGGAGATTGTTGAGCAGTGTGTAGGTGACAGTGAACCGCTCATAAGTTCGAACGGGGGACTCACAAGAAGCAGTCATCACAAAGCATGGGCGGTCCAGGCGGATGCTGGGCAGGCTAGAAGCAGTGAGAGAGGGAAGAAGGATGTGTGTTGCCAAACAAAGGTGAACAGGATGGTGTCTAGCGGGGAGTCCCACAAACTCACCGGTAGTGGGTGTAGATGCTCTGGGTGAAGGGCAGCTTTGGGGTGGACCACTGAACCACAGCAATCAGGGGAACTTCTAGGCCCTGTGGGAGAGACAAAGGGAAACATCGTGTGTACCTGAGGTTCCCCTCTCATCTTCTGTGGCCCACTGGCCTTTCCCTCCCACTGCTTTTTGTTAACCTTTTCCTTGAGCATCCAGTCCCCTATACTCACCTCCTTGGCCCCTTGAGGGGGTTGCTCTCCCCCTCTCAGCTGAAACAGGAAGTTGTGTTCCTCCAGGGCACTAAGCGGGCAGGGGAAGCAGCCAGAGGTACCAGGGAGCCGGCAGAAGGAGCCCATGGAGACTTCCCCAGATTGGTGACTAGTTCAGAAGAAAGAGCGACACAGCTTGATCTTTTCCTGCCAGAGCTCTTGGCCCTGCCCCCATCCCCACTTTGCATCCCTGCCCCTGCTCAGGATCTCACCAGACATTATCCACCAGCAGCACAGAGCCATCAGGCATGACAGGTAGATAACTAGCATTGAAGTTTGGGAGAATCCGGATATCCCAGATGGAAATTTCCTCCTGGGAGGAGCTGTTCAGCACTGTTGGAGGTAACCAGGTCAGCTCAGTTGAGAGTACCGGGACACCTCAAACCCCAACTTTACCCCTCCCAAATGGACCGATCCCCACCAGTGTGCCCAGAGTAACTGCCACCTAGTCAATGCCCCTACTGCTACCCAAGACCCAAGCCACAGATCTGCTCACCCTTGAGCACGGTCAAGTGTTTTCCAGCCACAGTGAACTGGCGGCATTTCAGAACCGGAGGGGGCAGCAGAGTCAGCAGGGTGCTCACTGCAGGAGGGCCAAGGCAAGAACTGATGAGCTGGGCAGAGACCTCATCCCCAACACAGTTCTAATCCGGCGCTTGCCAGTGTCACCCCTCCACTCTATCCCCTAAATTTCAGACTCGAGCATTTCCCCTCTACATTCTCCCCACCTTGGGCCTTGAAAGCGCTCTGCTCGCCCCGGAACGTCTCCCCAGGAGATCGGGTCTGCAACAAGCGCAAGTAGCCTTGATCTCTGACCTCTGGTGCCTCAACCTCCCGTTTCCACACAGTCACTACAATCTGAGAACAAGGGACACGGGGCCACAGTTAAGAGGAGAGCCAGCCAGCCCTGCCTTAGAAAGGGAGTCTGAATTAGGACAACAGTTCCACCCCTTGTCAATCTTACCTTGGCCTTAGGTGTCCCGGGGGGCAGTCTATCCAGTGAAACGGTGAGTGGGAAGATGACCTCATCTGTGGACACAATTGGTTCCTCCACAGGCAGCTGGTGTTTGCGAAAGGGGTAAAAGGGCGGGAGAGTCAAAGAGGCAGCCTGCAGCGTCCCCTTTTAAGATGTGCTGTACGCGGTTCTTCTTGGCTTCCTTCATCTGCCTCCTTCATGCCCCCAGCGTCCATCCCCCTCCTGTCTCTGGAGCCCGGCAAACCGCCCCTCCGCCCTGTGCCGTGTCACCCCAAGCTCCTCACCGTGGTCGCTCCCCCTGAGGTAGCAGGACCCGGGCCGTGGGTGAGGAGGGGGCTGCAGCCTCGAAACAACGGCCCACCGCCGGGATCCCCGCCCCCTGGGGGTTCGGGATCCTGGTCTCCGGTGCCACCGCCCCCGGGCGCCCCGCCTCCGGCGCTTACCGAGGCCAGGGCGGCCAAGGCCGTTGCCAGTTCTGCCCAGGCCCCTCGAGAGCCCAAGCCCGCGCCACCCCCGGCGCCGGACCCTGCGCCTCCCCGGCAGCGCAGCACCAGCAGGAAGCGGACAGTCTCCCCCAAGTAGAGATGGTTGCGCCGGGGCAGCGCCCGGTACCGGCCCGGGTCCCCCGCCAGCTCCGCGCGCGGCGGCAGCGGCACGGCCGGGAAGTACATGGAGTAGTCACACTGGGACTCCATGGGGCGGCGAGGACGGCGCGGGCCGGGGGCGAGGTGGGCCGGGCCGGCGGAGGGCGAGGGGGCCGTTGGGGTGGGGCTGGGGAGTCCCGAAACCCAACGGGTGCTGTGCGCGGCCGGGCCGGCCCGGGAGACCGGCCGGGGCCGGGAACCGGGGCAACGAACCCGGAACCGAGACCCCGCAGGGCCGGAACCGGGCTGCTGGGCCGATTGACTGGAGAGAAACCGGAAGCGGAAAGGAAGGGGCGTGGCCTCAGGGGCCCCGGAATTTGTGGGTGACCGGACCGCTGGGGAGAGAGGCGGGGTCCGGCTGGGGTTAGGCTGCAGTAAGAAGGCTTTAGGGGAGACAAGACAGGTTTCTTAGAGAAGAAATATTAAAAGGACCCCCTGCAACTCCGCTTCTCCCGGGAAGATGGAACATCCCGCCCCCTTTCCACCCTACATAATGCAAGTCAAAGGTTCAAATTATTTATTCATTCACAAACATTTCACAGTTAAATGAGCATAGTCTGGAACCAAATAATTCATAGAGAAATGGACGCATTATTCCAACCCACAAGTTCCAAGTTATTTCTGGCTTACTCCATGATTTGCTCCTTCAGGGGACTTTTGAGAGTGCAATGGGGACCTGCCAGGGGTTTGGAAAGGGGAAGGGGCAAAGTTGGGGGGAGGGGTACTGCTGGAATTCCTCCACACAGGCCGGAGGACTTGGTGCCCACATCTGTGCAAAGTTCCACTCATCGTCTAGGGCACAAACATGCTTTCAGAGGGAAACAGAAACGGCATCTGGCTGCCCCATACTCATCATGTTTGCCCTTGTGGCTTAGCTGCTTTTAAGCTAAAACTTAGTAGTCTAATGGCTACGGGGAGAGTAGCCTTGAAGTCTTAAGGGGCAGAGAGACTGTTGAGGGAAATTGCTTGGCATCTAGCTTGTCCTTGTACTGTAGCTCAGGGGTAGCCAGGCGCTCACACTCCTCCTGGTCTGGGAGGCTCAGTCCACTCCGAAGTACATAGCCCAAAACCTTACCGGACCCAAACTGGAAAGGTCGGAATCGACGGTCAGTGATATATTTGGGGTCTAAAGCCTCACCCCCCACTAGACAATGTTTAGCCAGGGCCTCTCGGCGAGCCCGGAGCTCGGCCACAGCACTCTCCAGCCGGCTCTGGCCGTATTGATTGATCCGTGCCCACAGACTGTGGTTGAAATGAACGTAGAGAGCCCAGTCCAGGTGGTTCCAGGCTCGGGCCCGTGCAGTCAGCTGCCTGTCCTCAGCAGTCAGTCCACCACTGCTGACCGCGCTTCTGCCCTGCTCACCTCCAGCCTGGGCATTGTGCATGAAGCCCACCACATCATCTAGACCCCAGCACAGGGCATCTGCCAGTAGAACCAGTGACTCATCAAAGTACTCGGCCACCAAGACCAGGTCAAAGACAGAGTCCAGCCAGGCCAGACTCCACTGGATGAAGGATGAAGACCCCAAATCCAAAGAGGCATGGCTGGATGTCTGGCTGTGACCACCAGCAACTGTAGGAGCAGGATGGAGGAGAGCACTGGGATCCAGGGTATAGTGGGCTCTCAGGCCAGCACCAGAAGGCAAAACATTCAGCTGTGGGGATTTGGGGTCTCTAGGGGGATGAGGATTCCCTCTCTTGGTCTTCATCTCTGGGGGGAAGGGGAGGCCAAAGTCAAACCAGAGTAAGTTGCGTGCATAGTGGTCCCCACGGGCTCCAGGCCGGTAGAAGGCTCGAGGATTGGCCAGGAAGGCAGCCAATGATGGTGCCTTGCGGAAGGCTGATGAGGTGGATTTATAGTAGGAGAAAGCAGAGCGGGCCAGAGCTGCTGGGTCTCGGACAATGGAAAAGAAGAAGCTGTCAGAGGGCATGACCTGGAGTACCTGTGGAGGAGAGAAAACAGGCATAGGGAGAAAGAAGTGGACCAGGAAGAAACTAAGAGCATGCCCATTGCTGGCTGATTCCCTAGACTTCTCAAACCACCTTCTTAAAGCTCTGCTGGGAACCCCTATCTTCCTTCACTAACTGACAAATCTTGGGCAAGTTACTTAACATTTCTAAGACTCAATTTGCTCATCTGCAAAATGGGGATAATCATACCTTACCAAATGATTATGGAGGTACAGGAGATAAGGATATGAAGGAACCTGGAACGCGTGAAGCTCCTTGAGAACATTAATTTCCTTGGGATTTTTTGTGTGGCTTTGGTCAGAACCAAATCTCTAAGAATCAAACTTCGTGTTCACTTCTCCAACAAAAACCTATTAAGTGCCTACCCTGGGACTCTTGGTCACAGTTCCAAGAAAGGAACTGGCCTCAGGCCTCTTCCCAGAGTACCAGTGGGTCACTGGCAGCAAAAAGGGAGGAAAGGGGCCAACCATAATGCTGTCTCAAGTATAGGCATCAGGTGGGCAGGCCAACCCCAGGATGGCCGAAAGACAGGGTATTTCTGGGGCTCCTAGGCATCTAGGAAAGTAAAGGACACCCCTGGACTGGGCACTGGGGAGCTATGGACACTTGGTAGGCTGCTACCCTGAAGCCTGGGACATGTGACTCAACTTCTCAGCAAGAAGGGAGGTGAGACTTGGGCTGAGCCACTCCCTAGCATGGTCCTACAGGCACATACACATCAGAACCCAGCTCCTGGGCTCCCTGAAGGGTTTCTGCCTCTGAATACGGCTTATCACTGAACCTAACACCCCTCACAACAACCTCCAATCTGCTCTGCTAATGTGGGCATGCCCACAGAGCACCGCCTGTGAACTGAGTGTCTCTTTGAAGGCAGAGGAGAGCAGTGCAAAGAACAGTCTGTGGCATCAGGTGAACCTGGAATAAATCCCAATTCAGCCATTTACCAGTTGTGTAACTTTAGGCAGGTTATTGAGCTTCTCAGAGCCATCATTCCTGCATCTCAAATCTGGGTTAACGCTTACCTTGAATGTGGGAGCGCATGGTACTCAATGAATGGTAATGACAATGAAGGTCAAAAACCAGAGAAGCCTGCCTGAAAGCTCATTGTCATCATGTCACTCCCAGCAGTGACCCCCCCCCCCAATGCCTTTTAGGTCCCAAACATACTCCTCAGCTGCTTTCTCCAGCTCTGGCTTCATGGGAGCATCTGGGGTTCTGCCACCTACACACATTTCCCCTGTTACACACGTGCCACCACCACCACCACCATAGCTTTGCTGGTTCTGCTTCCTCTAAAATACCTGATATTTAAGGGGCACCTGGGTGGCTCAGTCAGTTAAGCGTCCGACTTTGGCTCACGTTATGATTTCGCAGTTCATGAGTTTGAGCCCTGCGTTGGGTTCTGTTCTGAAAGCTCAGAGCCTGGAGCCTGCTTTGGGTTCTGTGTCTCCCTCTCTCTCTCTCCGCCCCTCCCCTGCTCACACTCTGTCTCTCTCTCTCTCAAAAATGAATAAACTTAAAAAAAATTTTTTTTCTAAATACCTGATATTCTTACTACAAAGTTCTGTCAAACCTTTCCTTAAAACTCACTTCAACAGAAAGCTCCACCTCTTTTGCTGAATCTTCTCCCCATAGTTCCAAATACAAACACACATATGCATGCACACATGCCAGGGAAGGCGCTTTGACTTTGGAGCAGACGGGCCCAAGTTCAGATCCTAGCTCTGCTGCTTTCTATGAAGGAGGCCAGTCACTTAGGCTCTCTGAAACTTGCCCTCTTCATCTGTGTAATGGGGACACTTATAATGCCTTTCTGGCGAGGTGATGGTGAGGTAAGAATCCAGCACTCAGTAAGTATTCGGTAAAAGTTCCTTCCCTGTATGTTGTCATTTGCACGTTGATTTTGTGTGTCTGAGAGCTCTCGGGTTCCTGTGTATGTATGGATGAGCTCGTGAGTGCACGCACGTACCTTCCCCTTTAGAACTGGGGAGGAGGGGGTCAGGACCGGGCTAGGGCTTGGCATGGAGCTGATTCTCAATATCTGGCAGAGGAAGGTAGTCAGAAGGCAGTGGCTGAGCAGGGGCCCTGGTAGTGTTAATAGAAAGGGCCAAGAAGAGCAAGAAGCCCCTGGAGGGAGAGTCTGGGGGGTCAGAGTTGTCAGGGCACTGATACCAGTGGGGTAAACTGGCCAAGGAAAGAGACCAGAAAGCTCCAGGTGTGAGAAAGCAGGACTTTGAATACCAGAAACTACTAGGCAAGAGACAGCTGAGGAGAGGGGAATAGGAATCACTGTGACCCCCATGCCCAACTTTTGGGTGAGGACCAACTTTTGCCTGGGGCCTCCTCCCCTGGTGGTCTTGACCACAGGCCTGAGACCATCTCTCTCCAGTCCCACCCACCCCCTTCTATGCCCCTCACCTCTTTCAGGTTGAACCTCATGTGATGACAGAGGATGTGGAAGGGGGACTTGGTGCCTCCACCCTGAGGGCGGTAGCCTTTGACCCGAGAGGCCTGGAAAAGCCTTGGGTAGCCGAACTGGTAGCGGGCAGGGAGGGCAAAGCGCAGCCCGTGTCGGTCCCCGTAGCGATGAAGCAGGTTCAGCACAGAGCTGCTCCCAGATTTGTGCGTCTTCAGGAACACAAGTCGCTGCCGGGGTGGGCAGGATGAAACAGCTGATCCCAGGGATGGGGCCAAGGGCTGTCGGAGTTGCAGGCCTGGTAGCCTGGGGAGAGATGGGAGGGGAATTTTCCTGTCCCTCACCAGCAGGTGAGTGGGCATCTTGTGGAGCAAAGACAGAGGACATGGAACCTTCTCTGAGCCACCAAGAGTCACAGCCCTAGGTGGCATGGGGAGGAGCAAATAGGGGACATCTATCAGGCATTGGGACAAGATGGGAACTCACCTCTTCTGGAAGGGGCCCCCCCAGAGCTGGAGGGCAAATCCGATGGTCATGAAGACTCCCAGAGCCAACCCCAGGCTCCGAGGCCCCCAGAGGCGCATGGTCCTGGTAGGAGACAGAGGGCCCATGTGGCAGGTAAGGGTGATGCTATCGAGGGACAGGGCAAGGGCCAGGCACAGAGGCAGAGACAGCTTGAGACAGCCGTGCAGCCGTGGAAGGCGCTGGTTGGAGATCGGGGGGTCATTCCCCAGGCCTGCTCGCAGCCCTGGTTGAGTCTGCCCCCTGAGTTAGCAGATTTTTGCCTCTGTCAGCGTCTAGAAGGGAAATGAGGGGGAAAGGAGGGGAGTCTAAGGAGAGGGTAAAGCCTTCTCTCCTGCTGCTACAGCTCATACCAGGAGTGGGAGCCTGCGGGGAGGGGCGTGTGCTCTCTACACCCAGATCTCCCAGGTGGCCCACAAGTACTCCTCTGCCATCAGTCTCCAGTTTCCCCAGACCCCCACCTGCAGTTCTCCCTGAGCCTCAGGGATTCAGAGGGGAGGGGAGAAAGACCAATCTGCTCATGTGACAGTGAGATGGACATCGGCCGGACGCCCGGCTTCCTCGTGAGTTCCTCTGCCTGTGACAGATGGGGATGAAGAGCCCCATTCTGAGGCCAAGAAGGCAGCCATAAGGAGGGAATGAGGGTCAGACAGGTACAGGGTGCTGAACCCAGGGAGGTCAAACTATAGGAGCAACTTTGTCACGAGTAGGAGTTAAAACTCGGGCATTTCTTTTCTCTTCTGAAACGTTCTCAGCATAAGGCAGACCCCAGTGTATGAAAAGCTGGGGGAGACGGGTGACTTATGAAGGTCAGATCCCCGGACCCCCCCAACACCCCTGTGCCCGCTTTCCAATCCCCTCTGCACCTAGAGAAGATGGAGAGGGTGGAGCTGGAAAGAGAGAGAAAAAAACTCTGCGACATAAGGATACTGAAAGATACAAACATCGAGCTTCTGAGTTCCTCCCCGAAGGCCCCAGCTTCCTAATCAACTGGGAGTCTGGACCCACCCCTTCAGATTACAGCCACAACCAAGGGCCACAGCCCTTCCCGACAACCCCTTTCTGGGACAAGCTAGGAGTGACCCCAGGTAAGGAGAACCCACACTTGCTACCTAGAGACCCGCCCCCTCTGGCATCACCCCCTAA